TAAACACACGCTTTCAATTCCTAATTAATTTGTTCTTGTTTTAATCAAAGTTTACTTGCAGCATCTAATAACAGATCAGATGTAAAGCCTGACTGTGTCTCTGAATGAAGAGCTGTTAATATATCAGTGGATACATCCATCACTATGCAACAGACTGCTGACCCTCTAAAAAAACATATTCTTTACTTTATTTGTTTATAATATAATTAATTTTATTTTATAATTTGTCATTTAATTTATGTGGATTTTAAGAATGTAATCAGACATTGTTTTTTTGCATGTTTAAATATTAGAACTATGTATTAGAGAAATACACAAATGATACATTTACTTATTTCATTGCACATTTAAGCATCTAATGATACGGTTTATCCCTCCGTATACTGCAAGGATCACAGCACAATAATATAGGAACGCTCTTGTGACTGTCGCTACAAGCATGCTCAGTGTGAGGGATTGTATTTGAGTCAATGAGTCGATGCAGTCAACTGGTTTTCCTTGGATAGAAAACTTTGAATCAATCTGACTGGATGATCTGGTGAACTGGAAAGTGCCTTGAGATGACATGTGTTGTGATTTGGAGCCATAGAAATAAACTGAATTAAAGAGAAAAGTCCAGATGTTTATGAGTGAAACAGGAATCTGTGATGATCCATCTCAGTTTAGTCAGATGTAATAAAGGACAGTCAGTAGAAAAGGTTAAGTCTAAGGAAACATCTGGTTTTATTCTGTCTCTGACTCTCATCTCAGCCGACAAACTCACCTGGATCTTCATCCCATACCGCTCCTCTTCCTCTGTTGTTTCCAGTTCCTGCATATTTTGGTAAAAGATGTACCACACTGACTGACCCTAATATAGGATGACCTTGATTATAAGTCGACCCCCTCTGTTCAGGAACATTCTTAGGGAAAAACAAAAAGACCAAAAAGTAAAAGAAAAAAAGACAAATAAACCAAATAGATTTGGTTTAAAAAAAACTGTTTTCTTTTTTACTGAAGTGCTAAGAATTTCACTGAAATAATATTGGATTGAAAGATTTGTGAAATTAAACAATAAAAAGTAAAAAAAACAAACAAAAAAAACAGTAAAAAACGGGTCTTATTAACCTGACCAATTAACCTTTTAAAAAACATTCCTCTCTGTTTGCCTCCTGATCATCAATCCTCCACCTATAACCATCATATTTATATACTTAATCTAATCTATATCTGTTGTGGCTCTTTTATATGCATCAATTTTCATTTGGTTATGACTTTTGCTTCAGATGTTGATCACTCTGACACCCCCTTGTAGAGATGATGTATGTCATCACTTTACTTGGATTTATCATTTTACTTGGATTTTCACTTTATTTGGATCTAGTTTTTACATATGCATAGATTTACGTACAGATATATATACATAAGAGCTATATGTGTATATATTTTATCTCTTTTATTCTTATTTTTTTTAATCTTTATTATATTGTATAGTTGGACGTGTGTATATATTATATAAAACTGTAACTGGAGTGTCTAACGAAGTAATTTCCCTCTGGGATTATTAAAGGATTTCTGATTCTGATGTAATTCAAGGATTACCTTCCAGTGGAGCGTCACCAAAAGAGCAGGATAATAACCAGAGACCATCTAGAGCTCCAGAAGGACTCAGAGTCCAGAGCAGCAGCCAGTCTGATAGAGGAAGATAACCTCCATTTTTCCAGAACACCAGAATCTCTCTGACTGTCAAATCCAGCAGGAAGCCTTAGCAATGAGGGTGATGGACTCACTGAGGTTTGTCCTTCTGGTCTCAAGTTGTTTTTTTCTCCCTTTACACAGATCAGCTCAGGGAGAAGCGCCTATAGACACATTAATAACCAGCAGCAATCTACCCTCAAATAACACCATTAACAAAACTCAATGGAAAACTGAAAAATTATATTTTTTGCCAAAGAGTTAAGGGTTGTAAAACCATAATAAATGGGGGAAAAACCCCTTTATTCAATATACAGTCAGGTCCATAAATATTGGGACATCAACACAATTCTAATCTTTTTGGCTCCATACACCACCACAATGGATTTGAAATGAAACAAACAAAATGTGCTTTATCTGCAGACTTTCAGCTTTAATTTGAGGGTATTTACATCCAAATCAGATGAACGGTGTAGGAATTACAACAGTGTGTATATGTGCCTGCCACTTTTTAAGGGACCAAAAGTAATGGGACAATCTGCTGCTCAGCTGTTCCATGGCCAGGTGTGTGTTATTCCCTCATTATCCCATTTACAAGGAGCGGATAAAAGGTCCAGAGTTCATTTCAAGTCTGCTATTTTCATTTGGAATCTGTTGCTGTCAACTCTCAATATGAGATCTAAAGAGCTGTCGCTATCAGTGAAGCAAGCCATCATTAGGCTGAAAAATCAAAACAAACCCATCAGAGAGATAGCTAAAACATTAGGTGTGGCCAAATCAAGTGTTTGAAACATTCTTAAGAAGAAAGAACGCACCGGTGAGCTCAGCAACACCAAAAGACCCAGAAGACCACGGAAAACCACTGTGGTGGATGACCGAAGAATTCTTTTCCTGGTGAAGAAAACACCCTTCACAACAGTTGGCCAGATCAAGAACACTCTCCAGGAGGTAGGTGTATGTGTGTCAAAGTCAACAATCAATAGAAGACTTCACCAGAGTGAATACAGAGGGTTTACCACAAGATGTAAACCATTGGTGAACCTCAAAAACCGGAAGGCCAGATTAGAGTTTGCCAAACAACATCTAAAAAAGCGATCACAGTTCTGGAACAACATCCTTTGGACGGATGAGACCAAGATCAACTTGTACCAGAGTGGTGGAAAGAGAAGAGTGTGGAGAAGGAAAGGAACTGCTCATGATCCAAAGCATACCACCTCATCAGTGAAGCATGGTGGTGGTAGGGCATGTATGGCTGCCAGTGGAACTGGTTCTCTTGTATTTATTGATGATGTGACTGCTGACAAAAGCAGCAGGATGAATTCTGAAGTGTTTCGGGCAATATTATCCGCTCATATTCAGCCAAATGTTTCAGAACTCATTGGACGGCGCTTCACAGTGCAGATGGACAATGACCCAAAGCATACTGCGAAAGCAACCAAAGAGTTTTGTAAGGGAAAGAACTGGAATGTTATGCAATGGCCAAGTCAATCACCTGACCTGAATCCAATTGAGCATGCATTTCACTTGCTGAAGACAAAACTGAAGGGAAAATGCCCCAAGAACAAGCAGGAACCGAAGACCATTGCAGTAGAGGCCTGGCAGAGCATCACCAGGGATGAAACTCAGCGTCTGGTGATGTCTATGCCTTCCAGACTTCAGGCTGTAATTGACTGCAAAGGATTTGCAACCAAGTATTAAAAAGTGAAAGTTTAATTTATGATTATTAATCTGTCCCATTACTTTTGGTCCCTTAAAAAGTGGCAGGCACATATATACACTGTTGTAATTCCTACACCGTTCATCTGATTTGGATGTAAATACCCTCAAATTAAAGCTGAAAGTCTGCAGATAAAGCAAATCTTGTTTGTTTTATTTCAAATCCATTGTGGTGGTGTATAGAGCCAATAAGATTAGAATTGTGTTGATGTCCCAATATTTATGGACCTGACTGTATATTCTAACCAATGTTAGAATTTACAGAACATATGTGGTGTTCTTTTATCGTTTTAGATTTTTTTTATCTATTATTTCTGCTCTTCAAAGATGATTTAAGGGAATTCTGGTTCAATGAATGCAAAGTGGACAGATCAACAGTTAGGATTTATTCAAAGGGAAACGCAGCATCTGGAGATTAAAACAGGAAACAAACGGTCTGATGTTTTATTAAATTGTCTCACAGCCAGCTTCTGATTTATTATTTAACTTAGAGTTATTAGACAAAAAGCAAATAATCTGAACAAAGTGGAGGCAAAGAGATGCATCTGATGCATAAAAAATATATAAAAAATAACATTTAAAAAGAAAGTTATTAAACAAGTCATAACCTAAAATAACATATGTAAAAAAAAAAAGATTTTTGGTTATTTTTAGGTTACAGCACAACAATGCCCACAAATTAAAGGAGAATTCCGGTTTTTAACACTTTTAGCCCATTTTCTGTAGTGTCCAGGATGAAATCGAATGATCAACACCAAAATTTTGACAATTGGTCCTGTCTCTGCTTTTTGGCTCATGCAGAATCCCCCCCTGGCTGCTTCAGAATGGCTTCCATAGTGCATGTCCGATAATGTCCTTAAAACAACCTTAAACGTTCTTTTTTTAAAATATGCTACTCACCGGGTCGTCAGCGCCGTTCAATGACGTTCCAAAAAAAGTTTCAAGAATCCACCTTTCGTATTCCTTTATCAGAGTTTTTTAAAGTGTTTAACAGAGACGTTAGCACCTCGACGTCGGAGTACACAGAGTGAAGCGAAAAGACTACAACTGTGTAAACAGGCCCCATTTCCGTTTCCGGTGGCAGGGGAATATTGACTATTCCAACAGAACTCAATGGGATTTACAAAATGCTAAATAAAACACTACAGGAACATTTTTTCTTTACGAAACTTTTTTTGGAACGTCATTGAACAGCGCTGACGACCCGGTGAGTAGCATATTTTAAAAAAAGAACGTTTAAGGTTGTTTTAAGGACATTATCGGACATGCACTATGGAAGCCATTCTGAAGCAGCCAGGGGGGGATTCTGCATGAGCCAAAAAGCAGAGACAGGACCAATTGTCAAAATTTTGGTGTCGATCATTCGATTTCATCCTGGACACTACAGAAAATGGGCTAAAAGTGTTAAAAACCGGAATTCTCCTTTAAGAGAACAAGAACAATCCTTCACATCTTGACAATACGTCTATGAAAAAAGCAGCAAACAGGAATATTCATTCATCTATATGAAGTGACCAATCACAGCCAAGGTAGACTTCAAGCCCCGCCCTCCTCTGAGTTTTTAATGTACAACTTTTACAACCAATCAGGTTAGAATTTTTTTTATTTTATTTTTTATCGATTAACAGCTCAGGTTCAAACAAACTGATTGGGTTTCTTAGAAGAAGTGGGAGGGGCTTGTGGTGGGAGGGGCTTTTGCTTCTCTGGTGACTCTCCCTGGTCGTCATAGAGATGGGAAGGAGCTTCAGCTGGAGGAAAAAACAGGAAACAGATAGGCTGGAAGAAACAGCTAGCTGAAAAAATGCTATGCTAAACAGCTTCAAATTCACTTTATCTAAAGTAAAGATTTTAATACATAAAAATGGGCTTAAATATCTAAAGAAGAAGAAGATTTGGTATTAAAGACTAAGATTACATTACTTCTTCTGGTTCCACTAAAGAATCCAGCATAATGAAAAGCCTGTGTTGTTGAAATGTTGACCTGAAAATATTCCTATCTGTTAACTTCTCCCATCAAAGAGAGCTAAAACCTTGGTTGCAGGTTCTTCTATGAGGAAAATGTTGTTGCGCAGCTAATTAGAGCTAATTACACAGACCTTCATGCTAAATATGTGGATCCATCCACCTGTCAATCAAACTCAGACATCCCCTCTATAGCGGCACCCAAACTCAGTTTCCCACCTTCAGGATATTGTTCATCATGACATGATTTATATCTTAATCCAAAGGTAAATGAACCTAGAAATTAAATGATGTACTTGACGTTTGTTTTTCTTTACCATGACCAGAAGGAGCTACACCTGCCTAAAGGCTGATTTATACACAGAAACCAGTCGTCTGCATGTGTGTCGCAGTTAACGCAGATATGCCCCGCCCCTTCCCCAAACAGTGCCGCATACAGGAGGCCTCTGATTCTTCAAATCTACATCCGCTTTACTCTATGCGTATTTCCTGTTTGGTGCCTTATCAGCTTGTTTTGTTTGTATGACCGCCATTGTGGAAACGACTCGTTTAGATGGACCAGCTAGAAGAGCGAGGTGCACGAGAATGCTGGGACTCTTTTTGCACCTGGATCCCCGCTCTTTTTGGCCCTCATGTCCCTCTGTTGTTGCACAAACTTGCCCCCACTTCCTAACCGCCTCGGCCGTATCTAGACCCACAGCTAGTTCCTGATTGTCCCTCTGGTGTTGTGGCGTGGAATAACAGCGCAGACCACGCTTAAATATTGGGCATAAATTCAAAAATATCTGCGACAAGCTCACTGCGACCCACTGCTGCAGGAGGATAACCAGCCGTTAAGGGTCACAGAGTAGACGGACCAATACAGAGAAGCCTTTCGCTCTTGACCCAGCTCCTTTTTCTCCACAGCAGACTGAAATAATCCGTCTTTTCTATCCTCCTTTAAACCAGGATATGATAACTGCTCCAATGGAGGCAGAGATTGACCCTGACTTTTTTGAACTTTTAAAGAATGACTATGACCTGGATGACTGAGAATCTTCATCAGCATATTGAACTCCATTTTGGGAAAGACACTCTCGGAATAACGCGTGAATATGAGAAATTGCTTAGGAAACTTGCAGATTATAGGAACCATCTAGATCGGTTACCATTTGCATGTTTCCAAGCGATACAAGGCTTTGTCTATATATAGACTCAAACTCACTGCGGATCCAGACATTTAAATTGAGAAAGCTCTGTGGGGAGGTGGCAAAACCTCTTCAAATCTTGGAAACCAAGTACAGTGGATTGTTTTTGAACTTTTATGGAACCCTGACCCAAAGACAGGAGTCCACCCATTTCAAGGTGATAACCTTTCTCAGACTTACAACATAATGCCACATCCCCTGGTTTTTCCCCTGCTCTGCTCACTTACATTAACGTACACCGACAGAGCAACTGCGTAGTTTATGTCAATTAATGAGAACGTTCCATGTTCTGCATGACTCCTCTGAACATCACTGTCCTTAAACTTGATCTCTGTCCTGGAGCAATTTCTGATCCAGACCACCTGGCTCTGCCTGCACCTTCTGCTCGTGCTGTCTTTGGACTTCATAGATCTCGGAGCAGAGTTCAAGGCTGTTACCACGGTAGTTTTCGTATGGACGCGCAAGGTGGTCTGCAACAGACCTGACAGGAACAGGAAGGGAGGATGTGGGATCTAAGATGAAGGTCAAGGCATGAAGGCACCAACAGACCCAGAACACCTTTGTAAAGGTGAGACCTTCAGGTTCGCAAAGCACACACTCAAACATTCTGTCCATGAACGCCACAGACAGAACCCAAGACAGAAGACATACATAGAAGGGTCACTAGAAATCCTGTGAGAAGCAACCAAGGTACCCCAAGGTAGGAGTTCAAGGTACCAACGAGCTGCTGTAAAAAGCCCAGCATGAACCACGGCCGGCACCAATGCTACATGTCTTAGAATCAGAACCTTCGATGTAGAGATGGACCAGCTCCACCTCTGAGGTAGAACTGCTCTGAATGGTGTCTACTGCTACCCAGCTGATCCATCTGTTGATTGTGTTTATTGATGGACAGTAGTAATGTCTTTGTCTTACTCTGTATCCTGGACAGAGCGTGCTCCAGACCCCGCATGGCTTTAGCTTGGTTACTTTTAAACCGGGCAAGCCCAAACTCCTGATGGACAGACAGAGAGAGTTAGACAAACAACATGGATACACCAACGATAGATGACATCCTGACATCCAGGAGAGGACGGTTCATGTTTCCTTTTATTCTCAGGTGTCTCCATCCAGCACTTCTGCTCACTTCACCTGTTCTCTCTGTCAATAACAGGTAAGTTAAGATTGGCTGGTTTGCCTCATCTTTTACCAACCTACAGGTGATTGTAAACTCTATAACAAACCTCTCACTGTGTTTATTTGTACCCATTTTACTATAATTGTGAGGTCTTGAGTCTTTAAACAGCCAAACTGCAGACATGCTGTCCTAGTTCTTACTTATTAAACTATTAGGGTTTCCATGTCACCTGTATGGGCCGGGCCAGTCCGTATACAGATGAGGAGATCCAGGCTTCCCGCTTCAGTTTGGTCCAAGTAGGCCGACTGCAGTCCTGTTCAAACATGCAGCACTCCACCACCGTCTGAGAGGATTAAAACTGGACTTTACATTTCACTCCAAACTCTCAGGATACAGAGGACGTCTCAGGGTCTCACCATCATGGTGTTGTGGTTCAGGTTCCAGGTCTTAACGATCAGCGTGTTGGCTTCCGGGTCTACGATGGAGTCCTCCAGGACGTAGACGGCCCGGGCCGAGTGGGCGGGGAAGATGCACTCCGCCCATCCAGGCAGCCGATTGGTTTTTGTAAGCAGTCTCCGCGACAACAAGTGGTTTCCAGGGGTGACCTCTCGGTAGAGGACATCCTCGGTGAGGACATGAGTGCTGCCACAAAAACCACACGACCTTTAACCTCGCACGGTATGACCTTATGTACAGTTAAATAAAAAAATATGCTTCCTTTTTGTATATCAAGTAAATTTATAGAACAAAAGAAATATAGTTAATTATTCAATGCAGTTTAATTAGAGTTAATGCTTTCCACTAGGTGGCAGCAAAGGGTCCCCAGTATGATTCATGTAGTGATAAATCTCAAAAAGCAGGTGATATAAACCTATATACTTAATAAATACCTTTGCATACCTTTCCTACATTCATTCTAACTGGTGTGCAGCCTGTCCTGGTTAACACACTCGCAGGAAAAGTATTATAAATACCAACATGCGTCCCTAAAAACCATGGTAACAGCATTGAAAAGGGCAGAAAGGAGAATCAGTGATTGTGAAATACAGGAGTCAGTGTCTGAGGTGGAGGGAGGAGGTAATCTAATCAGGCATTCATTTATTGGCTATGAGTAACAACATTTAGAAAAACAGTGGCTGAAGGTGGTAAATGTGGTTAACGCAGCTGGAGATGAGTTCAGGTCCTTGGGCGAAAACTAAACGAGCAAAACAATATCAAATGGGATCTTCTAATGAAACAGAGCAGACAGACTGAGGGATTCAAGGTGACATTTATTAGCAGAGCAGCAGGAAAAGGGATGAGAGGCTCAGAGGTTCGGTTGTACTGCCTGCTCAGTCACATTGTAGATGGACCGTCTATATCCATTTTCTATGTTCCATTGGTCCAGAATAGCTCATGGATTTAGGTAAGTTACTCCACCTGTCAGCCAGCTCCCTCTAAAATGCTTTGGCTGCAATGAACCCCAGCATGTTGAAAACTTGACCTAGTACCAGCGATGCATGTTTCCCTCTGGTTTCCCTTTGTGATACCAGGGATAGTGGCATGCAGAGCTCCGGAGCCACATGTGGCTCTGTGGACCAGGGTTGTTTTTGGCAGCCATCTTAGATTTAGTCATAGGCCGTTTCTCAATTCACAAGAACGCCAGTACAGACCAGAGCAAATGGCGGAGCGAGGATTTCGCTTTTTTTCAACTTGTTTTTTTTATTGAAAAGCAGCTGCTGGCCAAAAGTTTTTAGTCCCTAAAAAATATGTATTGCACAAGCTGCAGCCACTGACCCCGGCACATAATAGCGCATTATAACCTATTATCTCATTTGCAATGGGATGCTAGGTGAACTTTTTAATGTAGTCTAGTAAAATTAATGAATAATCAAATGGGAAATGTGGAGCAACATGAATGCAGCGAGGTGTTACGTCCACAGGTGGGAAACTGTGTGATAATTTAACAGCCAGTTAAATAAAACAATACGCATGTATCGCTCACATCATTATATCAAACGCCGTGTGTCCCAGGGCCCTGGCATCATTACATGACTAAAACATGTCAGAAAATGTTATTTATTTATTTCTTATTTATTTAATCAGGACTGAGCACATTAATGAACAATCTTATACTTCTGTACAGATTGTAAATGAGCCAGATTATAGCATAGTTGCTAATTTACATCTGTTTGAGGAAGCGTGGAAAGATGTTGCCTGAGCAGCAGGAAAATTAAGGTGAGCGGAGCAGATTTTAAGCAGAACGTCGTTTGAGAAGTTGAGCGAATGAGCTAACATCCTCCTGAGCGGGGAGCGGGAATTGCGCGGTGGTCCGCTCTGTTCAAATGCTCTGATACGGACTCGTGTTCTCACCAAGTATGTTCTTGAGAAGAACACTTTGGGGACCGTGGACTTGGGGAGAAAGGGCCAACATATAATCATTATCAGTGCGTATTAAAGTCGTACGAAAGTTATGCACACTATTTCGTACATTTTTGGACATTTTTCCTCAAAAAACCACATCAGTGCGCATGCGCTGGCAGACAGAAAAAAAAAGCAGATCCGCGGACGCACGTAAAAATGGGAAAAACAGTGCAATCATCACTTATTCATGTCTCTAACTACGTTGCTTGCTGTTTTATATCTTAGGTGTAGGGTTAGCATCAGGGTTAGTGCTAATTGTAATTTATATTCTATATTCGTGAATGGTGCGTCAGATGCGCATGCGCATAAGACGAAAAAAACGTACGAAATTACGTTGCATAACTTTTCGTACGATTTCACATGCACTCATAATGAGAATATGTTGAAAGGGAGCATGCAGCATAAATCTGAGTTATTAAGAACAGCAGTGTACTGATGACATCACCACATGCTCGGCTCATCTGGAGCTGCATTTCCCCTCTTGTTGTTAATAATCTCTAGATAATAAATTCTTACTTTTTTCATTTATTGGGGAATAATAATGAACACAGTCAGTTAAACACAAATCAAATGAACATTTTGCCAAATAAAACCAAAAACTCGCCATCGGTTCCTCACGGACGGCTATGCAGAGAGAGGGCTGCTGCAGACGGGCTAACGTTAGCGCCCTGGCTGCCGTTAGCCTCGGAGGTCCACCGGTTGCCACGTTCCTCTCAACTTTGGAAATGTTTTTAAAATGACACATTAAATCAGTGAATGGGGCACATAGTGATGCTTTAAAGTATAATACTCCCGCCTCAAATAACCTTAAGACATACTTTTATTGAACAATAGCAACAGAAAACGAAATGTGATAGGTTTATTTGGTTTATTTGTTTTAGTTGACTTAAAAAGGTTTTAGTTTTAGTCAGTTTTATTTTGCAAAAAAAAAGTGAACCTTTACCATTTCAAATACCAACCAGATTCTTTATCAGACTGACAGCTCTAGCATAGATGCTGCAGTAGCTGGGTATAGAATGCTGCTATGCAGTTCATCATTGCTGTTGGGCAGAAAAGTTTGATTTATAGAATTCAAATAAACCTTCTCATTAAATTAATGCACTATTTCATTAAAATAGTGTCTCACAAAAGCTGTGAAAATAGCAGATCTACTTCAACATAAGATGCATTTTAAACATCAGCTAAGCCATCATTGTGACCCAGCAGGGCGTTATTTTCCTAAAATAAACAAGTTCAGGTTAAAGTAAAACTCTCTGGTTCTGGATTTTGGACGAAGTAATAATCTGTTTGGTTTTAATTTGAAAGTCAAGTTAATTTAGGAACAGTTGATGAACTGAGTTACCTGTAAGGGTTTGGGTAGCGCTGCCAGAAAGCAGCCAGAACTTGATGCAAGGGACTCTGGATGTGGACCTCGCTGTAGAAATGCCGCCCCATGTCTGAACCTGCTGCCAGAGAACCCAGCTCACTCATTCAGTCACTGCAAGGAGAGGAACAAGAAGAAAAGGAAGTAATCAGAGATATTAGTAAAATATTTTCCTAATTAAATCTGATCAGAAAAGTTGTTTATTTCATACATTTTACAACGATTTGCATTATTGAAATCTTAACAAATAAACATTCCCGTTTATTCAGAGAACATTAGAGAACAAACGGCATCATGGAGACCAAAGAACCCAACAGAGATGTCAGGGGGAGGGTTTTATGCAGCTAATCACAAACCAATGATAACTCTGGAGGAGATGCAGAAACCCCACAGGTTGGAGGGAGGATGTGTTGGCAGGAGAACCGACAAGTCTGACCTTAAAGGAAGAAACCCCTTCCATCGCTTTCCTACAAACAGACTTTATAGCTGAAATGCAAAGTAATTTTGATGTCTGAAATGTAATTGTTTAATAGATAATTATCATCGAAAACACTGAAACACGGTGGTGGCAGCATCATGCTTTGGGGAGGCTTGTGTTTCAGAGGGGACAGGGAAGTTGTTCATCTCAGAGGGAACAATAAACCTGATAACATTTACAACACTTAAGAAGTCAAATTTAGGCATAATAACATTATTTACTGCTCCTTTTATTTATGAAATTAATAAATTTTACTGTGAATATTTGATCAAATTTAGGATTCAAACAACTTTCAAACTTGTGTTTTACAGAGGTTTGAGACAGTAAATGAGCAGCTTAGCAGTGAAATTAACATTTCCTAATTCATAAAGTGAGGCAGTGATCAAATGTAAAACAAAAGTGGTTCAAAACGCATTGATAGGGAAGTATATATGGTGCAAAACATTTTTTGGAGTTAAGTTCTTTTTGGTTTGGTATTGTTAGTGTGATGCAGAGTCTGTGACTTGGTATACAGTTGTTTTAAACATTTTTGCGGTCTGAAAGCAGTGGGGGAAAAGCTGTTGCAGCATCTGCTGGACCTGCAGCAGATGCTGCAAAATGATGGCAAGGCTAATTTCTGCTCATACTGCAGAGTTTATTACCTGTAGATATTCATTTCTGTAATCACAGATTGTTCCACTGCAATAGTCAAATAAATAAAGTTATGACATTTAAACCACTACAGTTATTGTTATTCTTTGCAATACCAAATTTTATGAATATGATTACTTCTCAGTGGATGTGCGTTAATTAGCATTACAGTTTAATTTAATCTGGTGAATTAAAGTCATAAAATATAAAGCTGAAATAGGTTATAGTATTAACAAGCAAAATAAGTTTGCGTTGGCCGGGAATCGAACCCGGGTCAACTGCTTGGAAGGCAGCTATGCTAACCACTATACCACCAACGCCTGATAAGAGCAGCGCACTCTGTCACATAGAAAACCACACACTATGACGATCAGATGACGTTTCTGAATGCCTGATTTAACCTTTATAGCCATTTCTTCTTATAAAAGCTCCCATTGAAAAGGCTTGACTGTTTTTTCCTCAGTTTACAGCCATATCAGCCCTGCTCCCTCCATCAGCTCCAGCCTGGCCGCCGCTGCTAATGAGGCTAACCGCTAGCAGCGGAGCTAACATACCTGCAGCGGGATCAGTCGGTTTAAACGCCCGGATACAGCAATGTAGTCCCATATAATTCCCATTACTGAAAACTCTGCAGAACAACAATAAGACTTCTGTTTACAATTTCTGCTCACTGAAAATCCAGGTAAAACCAGATGAAAGCGGTAACTGCACATCACGGTTTTCTCCACTAGATGGCGGTGTTTAACAATTAAAAGGCAGGAAAGCCTCCAGTTTTCTTCACTTTGTTGAAGGAAGGTTTCCCACGAGTCCTGAAGGTTTGACTGTTAATTTATTTTTAATACCTCTATCTGTATATTTTTAGTAAAAGAAATATTAGGTAAACTTGCTGATTATTAAAACATAAAAGGATCCTAAATAAGGTGCTATTTTTTTGTTTGACTGTTGAATTAACACCAGTAGCTAGATTTAATAAATTTAGAATTAGTTTGAATTTCTTTTTAATTGGTCAACATTGAAATATAAACGCTGAAATGCAACAAAAAAGTATAATTTGATTAATAGTTGATGTTTAAATGCTGAAATCACAACAACATGACAACTACAGGGTCCCTACATTGTTTTGAAGTTGAATAAATGTTTTTTTTTACTAAAATTATTTCAACAACGTTCAAATTCTTAACATCAGTTGGATGACAGCTGAGTGTCTTAAAGACAGATAAGTTAGTGAAGCAGCTGCAGCCAGCAACATACAGTAGGCCTTCATTTCTTTCTACCGAACTGAATAAAATACAGCAGAAAATAAAACAACAGCTTTAAGAAAGTGAACCTGAAAGAGCTTTTGGAGATCATTTAGATTATAGAAAAATAGAAAATCAATTTATTTTCCCACAATGGGGAAATTCTGGTGTTCAGCAGCAAAATGATTATAGAAAAAATGGTCCCACAAATGTGGACCTTAGAAAAATTTATAAGCTAAACAATAAAATACTGCACTGTAAAGTGTATTAACAATACAAAACAGTTCACCTGGAGAATAAATAACCAATATAGAGCAATGGACATTTTTACAACAATTGATAAATAGCAGCAATGTCAGAGACCAGTGTAGGTTAACTGACTAAGTTAGAAACTGAGCAAAATCAGCATGAATGGAACAACTTATTGAGGTTGTTGGGAACAGTGGTGGTTATAAAGTCTGGCAGCTTCTGGGAGGAAGGATCTGTGATAACGCTCCCTGGTGCATTTAAGGTGCAGCAGTCTGTCACTGAAAGAGCTCTCCAGTTCAGCACCAGCTTCATGCACGGGGTGGGAAACAGAGATGTTCATTTAGTTAGGATCCTTCTGTTTCCAACCTCCTGAACCTAATCCAGCCACTTCCTCTCGGCTTCAGATAAGCCCATGATTCAACAGACAGCTCCATAGAAGACGGCTGATGCCACCACAGAGACATAGAAAACCAAAATACAATAAATGTGTAAATGTCAACTTTAAAGATGGATTTAAAGGATATTATACTTAAAAATATATCTACATTTCTTTTCCCTCATTTCAGAAAGAGAAACTCATTTATACGTATAGATTCATAACACATAGATGTGAATATTTTAAGCTTTTATTTCTAGAGAAATTAAACATTTAGTGTATCTATATGTTGTGAATATTGTAAAAATATTTTAAACCCCTTGTGTCAGACCCTAATCAGCTAATGGATGCTAAAGCCAAAGGTTTCCTAGGCCTCTAAATGGTCTCAGTCTGAGTGGATTGTGACCATGATGGTGCTGGTTTGATTAGCCAGCAGTCAGTTGAACAGAACCTCATAGAGAACCTATGGTGGATGGTGAAGAGGAAGACGACAGACACCAGAACTGACCACTTAGAGAAGCTGAAGGCCTCCATCAAAGCAACATGAGCTTCCAGAACGCCTCATCAGAACCACAGGCTGATGTCATCCACGCCGTACCGATGTAATGATGCTGTAGGAGCCAGAACAAATATTTCCTGCATAGAAATGAACAACCTTATCTGAAGCCTGACATCTCCGTATGAGTGATGTAAAGAAAGGTCTTCTCGAATACCTGGTTGATCAAATTATTCCGTTCTCTGCATTATCCGTTATGACACAATGTTAAATAGTATCAGATATCTTTGTATTAATCTAATGTTTTTAGATGTTCTAGTTTAGTGGGGTTTTCATAATCTGTAAACCATAATAATCAAAATGACACTGAAATATTTCACAGTTTTCCCTGATCTAAGATCCTGAACCAGCAGTGCTGAATTTCTTATATAAACAGAACAATGAATGGATGTGTTAGAGGAATGTGCCTTGAATACCAGGCGCTAAGTTATATTGCTCACCACTGATACTAGATACGGTCTCTGCTGTTGCAGAGCAGACACAACAGATAGATTAAATCCATGGGATTAGGTATTTATAGTAATGGTCATCATTATAACCATTATTACAATTATGAATTGATAATATAATAATTTTGACAGAATATTAACTTTTATTTATATAGGAATATGTTTACAAACGGTCAAATATTTGAAATGTAAGTTAAATGATAACCTAGAAAATCCATATAATTTAATATATTTGCTTCTTATGGCTCCCCTAAAGCATCATTGAGGGAGAAAGAAATAAAATAAAGTCCAAAGTTTCATCCCCAGTTTAAACCATTAGCAGCTCTGTTCCACTGGGATGTGAACTGGGCAGTAAATATACACCCATTATAATCAGGGAGAGCAGTTTTACCTCCTCCACAGGGCAGCTGGCATGTTTATGGCTACTGGCTTAAATTCAGCGCCATTCTATTATCAGAGCAAACTCAAAGTCAATCTTTACTGATCCCTTCACTCCAACTGGAAACTGAACGAACCCAATATCCACTTTCATTGGTAATAATTCACTAAAGACAGATTAGATTCACTTATAGGCCTTTCTATGTTAATGAATGTATATTAAAATATGAAAATGTTTATGCATGTTATTATTAATTCATCCAAAGACCGAAGTCCCTCTTTACATACTTTTGTCCTACCTATTCTTTTATTATTTAATTTTATTGCATCATCCACAAATGCTTCTTGTAGTATTCAGTGCGGCGGATCAGAGCGCATGTAGTCTATATTAGCCACGAGGAACATACAATTCATTTATTTTTACATTTTTCATCCCTTTAATGTCTCCCTTCCTCCATTTAGTTTCCTGTTCTCAGATAAATATAATGTAACCCCCAAACACAAGGCGTCATTTAGTTTATAGGCTAAACCTGGTCGGTCCGTCATAGTCTCGATTTAGTCATAGTTGTTGAAAATTGGGCTGTTTAGTCCGATTTTGTCCCACTTTAGTCCAATAATAGATCTTAAAAAAAAAACATTGAAAACCCAGTTTCCAGTACTTTTCAGCGATTGGAAAATTACGGCTTTTCACCTTTCAACCAAATGTAGACGCCGTTAGGATGTAAATCAGGTTGTCCTTTCAATGTGTTTTCAACCAATTTTTGCTCTGTGGGTACATTCCCTTCTCTTGGCTGTATAGAAGCTCTTCTGCAGTCCATTCAGGCATGACGATGCTGTGCCATTAAGTAATTATAATCCTGATGCTCCAAAAAGCCATGGACATGTGTGTACTATATTCATTTATGAAAGTTCAAATAATAAAAAAAAATGAATGGAATATAATCGCTCCTGTAATTTATTGTACCAATGCTTCTTTATCGTCACAATGACTGCAGATATTTCTGCATGTTAGTGATTAAACATGCAAAAAATTAGATGTAGAAACGACACCCCACTGTTTCCGGTTTGATAAATTGCTTTGGTGGTGTTAGGTAAACATATTGTTGTATCTTTCTCCCAGTATTTTACATGTTATGATGATCAGCAAATGTTTTGCATGTCCATTAGTTTGGTCTGGTTCATTCCTTGAAGCAGAAATTTAATTCTCAAATTTGTCAAAATGAACTTGCAGTTTAGCAAAACAAAATAGTTAACTTCCAGAAGCTCAAATCTCCTCTAAATCTGTTAACTTTTCCCTCAAGACTTACCTCTTTTCTCATAGAAATTGTCAATGCAACCAAAAGAAAATTATTTTAGTCATTTTTTAGCACTCAGGACCCTTGGTGCTTTTCCATAAACCAACCTGGATGGTTCAACACAACACGGTTAATCATCAGAAACTCATCTTCCTACAAAAACTTTATTTGTGCCTCAAAATAAAGTTTTCAGATTGTCGGTGCCTCCAAAATGCTTCGTCCTTTTGGCATTGTGTGAGCACTGCAAGTCAAACTGTTTAGATGTTCTAATTTCTTTTACCTAGCCAAGAGAATATAAGTGTGAAGCTGATGATAAAATGAAAAGGAGTGACAGCCAACATTTGACAACATTGTACACATACTGCCACGGAACCTGAAATGATTATTATTTATACAATACAATATCAAAGATACAAAAAACTAAAATGAAAGTAAAATCCAGACAGCATAGGCTACTGGTGAAAACAGAGTTGTGGGTCACCTATTAATAATTAAAAAAAAAAAAGTTTCACCAATTTATTGGTCCCTGTTCTCTACATTTGTCAGAAGCTCAGAATTCAAGCAGACAGCTTAGAGGCTCATCAGCTGGGGCAGGATCACTGGATACTCTGTACAGGAGGAAACTCAGGTTAGTGACTACGAAACTCAGATGGGAAACGATAGCATGCATGCGAGTCACTAACCTGGTTAAGAGTCCAGAGGAAGGAGTGGAATCCAGAAGGATTGTTTTCTGCAGCATACTGCGTGAGCCGCCCCCTGAGTTCCAGCAGAGCAGACTGACGAGCAGAAGCCAGCAGACACGGAGCAAGAGAAGTATCCGGAGGGAGAAACCAAAGTCAAAGTTGATGCAGGAGCAGGTTTCCAGGCCAGAAGATATGGGAATCCATGCCATGGTCAGGAGACAGATCCAAGGTCGTAAGCAGGCAGAATCCAGGAAACAGTCCGAAGACAAATCAGGCAAACAGAGCAGAACAGGGACAAACAATATGACTGAAAAAAATGTGATTGACAGATGACCGTTGATATATGATTGGCCGAATGTTGCCAATCATATATCAATGAAAGGTGTTCAGGCTGACGTATAACTAACTGGCCTGCATAAAATAACGGAAAAAAACAGATAATGACAGGATTTTTTTTTTTAAATAGACATTTTCTAAACTTTGGGACAATATCTTCTGAT